CCATCAATATGTCAGGACCTGCTAAAGACCATGTGCCCAGTATCCTTGTGAAATAAAAGATACATCTACACTTGAGTCACTTCTGTGACTGTTGCTCTATGCTGTAGACATGCATTGAATCTGCTCCTGCTTTATCCGCAAGGGGGCTGCTCAGTAACACAGCCTATAACTCCCTACTTTGGGAACTGAGAGTAAGATCATGCATACAGCTGCTACAGGTGAAAGCAAACATTGCTAGGGTGATTGCTTAAGGACTATGCTTTTAGGAAGTTCAAATTTCCCAACTCTGAATGGCAGGAATAAACCCTAGTTTCTTCATTATATTTTCAGCATTAAATGTGTAAGATAAAATCTTAATGGTTGCAGCTGCTTTTATTCTCAGAATCATTTCACCACGTTAGAAGGAAAAGGGATTTTAGAGGGTGTAAAAAGGAACAGGTTAGAACCCCAAAATGACAGGAACCAAAGGGATTTATCTATAGATGTTCCTTTGAAGATAGCATTTGAAAAAGAAACATCTTTAAAAAACAAAGGACATATAGCAAATGCATTGATCAGTTTGCCTTCCCATCTGGTTTAGCATCCTTTGCAGTCTCCTGTTAAGTGACTTAGATCAGAGAAAAAAAATAATTTTTTCCTTTGAGGAAATATTTTACCTCCTCAGTGGGGGCATCTACATGAGATGCTTATTGTGGACTTACCTAATTAGCTCTCCAGTAAAGTGTCACTATCTGCACAAGCAATGATCTTATTCGTAGATTCATAAAAGTTTGGGGTTGAAAGGGACCTCAGAGATCATCAGGTCCAGCCCCCTGCTCAAGGCAGGAAAGACTGATGAGGTCAGATGACCCTAGATAGGTAAGAGTAACTTAATTAACTCCACTATAGGATTGTACTGCCCAACACAAGTCCTATTCTATGGCAGAGTTATTTACACACATGTAGAAGGTGACTGGGGCTGGCTGGGGCACGAGGGTGCTACCATATGGGGCTGCCTGCCAGCTAGCCCCACACTGTAGCACCCTCATGCCCCAGCTGCACATTGAGCCAGGGGGAGAGCAGCTTCAGGCTGGCAGGCTGACCCCCAGACCTCCTGCCATCTGGGGCCGAGTTGCCCTGGCTCAACGTGCTGCATTCCCAGGCACACATGTAAATGCTGCACCCAGGAGCCATACTATGGTGTAAACTGTGCTGGAGTTTATTGTGTCACATTAATATAATGTGTACAAGTGTACAGTGTCTCTTAGGCATCTGCACCTTTTTTACTGCTTTACACAAGTGCTTAGTGCAGGAAATAATGAAAGCTGTGCAAGGATTGTGCTACAGCCCAAATTCCTGAAGTTTAAGGAATTAACAACCTGGGGAAGTTTATGGAAACAATCCATCTTAGACAAACCAAAATTAACTGTCATTTATTCTGTAGCTGGAATGAAATACTGAATAGAAGTGAATCATATTTAATCAAAGTTCAGTTACAGTTTCAAATGAGAAGCAGGCAAGTGAATAACACAGAGGAAGACCTGGGCTTAGGAACATATTTCCAAAATTGATAATTTAGAGTCCAACCTTCAGATCTGGTTAAAGATCACATCAAAATATTCCCCAGACAGCAAGAAAATCAGACATTGTGCAGCCCAGAATTTATCCTATTATGGGACAGGTAAATGACTTACCTTCCTGAACAATTCTGATTTTTTTTAAACCCTATACAATATCAAGATACTATAGTGACAAGAGCTTTAAAACATCTGTGTTAGACAAAATTAAAAAATTAGAAACAACCAAAATTCTAGCAGGAAGAAAAGTAATGAAAATGATCCTGCTAGTATAACTATGCTGTCTCACTACTGATTTGAGTGGAGATACAGGAATATAACCAAAAGAAGAATTTTCCCCAAGTTTTAGTTAGTGTCTTTACTGGACACCTGAGTCCTGAACTTCCAGGCTTATATTCTTATTATCAGGCTGTTGAGATATGAAGTGAGCTAGAATCATAATCCTACCAGCAACACAGCGCTGATCCATGTAGGGTGTTCATGTTACATTATTTAAGTAATAACAATGGAAAAGGATGCCATTTCCTGACATTAATAATTGATGGGGAAAACTTGATGGCCTGAGGCTGTTTTTGCTGGTAAAAATGGCAATGGTGAGGACAAAGCTGGGCGTAAGGAATGTATTCCTGAGTGATACTGTTTCAGCAGATTGAAGAAACAGGGACTTTCTTGAAAGAATACGCTGGCTATTAGACAGTCACAGCAGTCATGTTATTTATTTATTGCAATACTTTAGACCTGCACTTTAAAACTCAGTGTGGAAAGGCTTGTCTACACACAGTTTTTGTACTACTATAATTAGTAGTTTGGGAAATTTGTTAAGATTTGTCAAAACAGTTCTCCATCAGAAAATGCAGTTCTATCAACTGTTATTTTCATTAATTAATATGAATTTTGATGGATTTTCCCATGAAACACATTTTCAAAACAAATTTTATTTCAGAAAATTTCAAATATAATTTACATTGTTTTAATTTAACTCTTTTATTACATATTTCATGACATGCCAGTGGTGATCATGCCAATTATGACATGTCACACTATGTCAAAAGGCTGATGAAAATGCAAGTGAGATGTTCCTTCTTAAATAGGCCTGTTGTCAGTCCATTCACCACAGATATTGGAGTAGAGCTTTGACTGACTCAGCCCAGGGGCCTAACAGTATCTTCAGAGAGTGCCCTGACTACCAGGCTGGCTGGCTGCAGGTTGATGCATGCTCTCTCTCGGATGTTGGAGTTCTTCCAGTTGGTATCATAATTAAATATTCTTTGAAGCAAGAATCCCAAATCTCAGGAAAGTTCTCTACTGAAGAGGAGAAATATAAAAATGTTACCAGTTTAGTAATATTGATCCAACAGCTCAGAAAAGCAAGTGGTTGGGAGCTCAATTCTCCCTCTATCTGCACACAAGGGAAAGACTACTGTTCAGTTTAAAGGGGCAGTTTAATATATTGAGTCAGCTTCTAGTCCAGTTACAAAGGACTGTCCTCTCTCCAGAGCTACAGAAGTGATTGTCTGTTTCCAGGTAAATCACAGTTACATTCTTACTCAGCTCATTTGTCTCCATTTGGCAGTCCAAGTGTATAATATTGGAAATTGTACACACACACAGTTAGTGCCATTGGTTCTAATAAGACTAATTCTATGGGTAAAGACATTTTCTTTAGCACTGGTTACATGATTCAGGCTTCCTGCCAATTAACTGTTGCCATATACCTCCCCCATTAGTGCCTGCAAAGAATTTTGAAGATATAAAACTCTTAAGAATAAATATACATAAACATTCAGATTTATCAACAGACTATCAATTGGTTTAAATATTTATTGTTGCTATTTAGAATAAGAATAAAATATTAAATGAATACATAACCATTTGTTAATGATAAATTGGCTACTTCCTGTTTAATCTCATGTAGTTGCTTTGTTTGTTTGTGTGTCACGTGTCTGTGGAATGAATAACTGATATCTCTTTAAACCAGTCCTGGCACTGGGTTTGTAGCCATTTCATTTAAAAACATGCCATAATGCTTTAGCTGGGTCACTTGCATGAGATCTGTCTTGGTGTCAACTGTCAGCCTCATGGCATTCTTACTCAATATTTACACTAGCTTTCACTAGAGCAGAAGAAGCAGGAAAAAGGTGGACTTTTCAAATGTGATCACTGGAGGACACTAAGATAGATAATAGATGAGACTGCAAGTCACTGAAGCTGTCCAAAGTACTTAGATCCTGATTTATTAAACGTGCTCTTAATTCCATGTGCATAATCAACTATTTATGTTTAAAATGTACAAAAATGCAATCTGAATAATAATTTTCTGAGTGGTATGTTAACCACTGCAAAATGCAGCAGCTCTATTTCACAGGAGCCTTTATGAACCTTCTGTTTGGTATCTCTTTAAATCTTCTTAGGCTGTGTCTACATATGCATTAAGACTTTTCCTAACACATGTTAAGTTTAGTATCTCCAATGTGAGGTACTAAACCAGGGGTGTGCAACCTTTTCAAATGTGGGGCCGGATCACAAACTTTTTATCACCCAGTGGGCTGGCGAGCCATATTCAGAGGCCTCACAGGAAGCGGTATCATATCAGGAAGTAATATGTCACGTGACCTTTGACACCAATGAAGTTGCAGGAAGTGACAATGAAATGGGCCTGGAAATGTGGTTTAAAATCCAAAATAAAAACAATATAAAAGCAACAATGAAATAATACCAAACACTTGACTAAAATAAACACTGTCACATAATGAAAGAAGCATAATTCAAGTCGACAGATCAAATGTGGAAAAGATATCAGCCAGAGTGGAAACTAATCAAAGGTGGAGGGATGTGTCTTGGTGGAAGACACCTGCGTGGCACTTTTCAGCCTCCGCCGCTCACTGCCTTGCAAGGGGCAGGCAGGAGGGGAGGGAGAAGGGAGCGGGGGCTCCTCAGTGCATCCAAGAGGCTGCGAGAAACACTTGCGACTTAGCCAGGCCTGGCCACAGCTGCAGCCGGGCACAGAGCGGAGCGGGACAGGGAAAGCTGCTGCCACACGTGGGAGCCCCAGTCCAGGCTCCTCCTTGTCCTCCCGGCCACAGCCTCCCTGGGATGTGGGGGGAAAGGCGCCCTCCGCTCTGCTGCTGCCCACCTCACTGCCCCAGTGGCGTGTGTGCCTATGCCGCCTCCTGTCCCCAGCAGCACATGAGAAGCGGCCCCCTTGGGACACGGGGCCTCACACATGGGCGGCCGGGCCTGGAGAGCCGCAGCACCCGGGGGAGACTGGCCTGGGGAGCAGGCGCCGCCTTGCTGTGGGGCAGGGCAGGGCAGGGCAGCGGGGCTGGCTTGAAGCAGGCAGGTGAGGAGGCAGGTTGGGGATGGCAGTGCCAGCAGCTGCCATTTGGTTTCCCACGCGGGGCCGCTCCAGCAGAGCAGGGCATGGACATGGGCACGGGCTCATGTCAGGGCAGGGAGGCAGAGGCAGGAGCACGGGCACTCCCGGATGTACATCCTCCCCGCCAGCGACTGATGTGTCCTGGGCCCGCGAGTGAAGCTGCTCCTCTGCCACCCGGCAGCAAAGTTCTCAGGTGAAGGCTCTGTCCTGTGCCTGCCCCAAGCCCACGGCACCAGCTGCGGCCACCCGGGCGGGCACCAGCTACTCAGGGTGGGCGGGCGGGGCCGCTCAGCAGCCACAGCCAGCACCGCCCCCGGCCGGGGAGGGGTCCAGCCCCGCAAGGGACCCGGCCAGGCCGCACCACGCTGACGCGGTGTGTGGGGGAAACTTGTCCCTTTTCCAGCCCTTCAGCAGCCATTAGAAAGCTGCTGAGGGCATGGGGGAGGGACAAAGGTTGGGAACAAAAGTAAACTGTGTTTACTTTTGTTTCCCATTGCAGCACCATGGGCCACAGAAAATGCCTTGGTGGGCCACATGGCGGCCCGCATGTTGGACAAGCCTGTACTAAACAAATGCGCATTAGGCTGCCTTAATGTGCAGTAATGAATGTGCACAATTTTTAAGTGATGCTTAATGCATAGTAGCCTATTTTACTGCACATTAGCATCATTGCAGGTTTTTTTATGTGACAATTTAATGTACACTAAAATAAGCTACTGCCCATTAAAGTACGTGAGTAGACACACCACTAGATTCAAACACACCCTAAATCTCAAAGATAAGTTAATGCTGTCCATTTTCCTTAATTATAGGGTGACATAAGGCAAAATAGATACTAAAAAATACCTGCAACTGAACTGCAAAGATGCCTACCATAAATGTATTAAACTCATGAAAATAAAACTGCAAAAAGCAATGCAACACTTGACTTCAATTTTAGCTGCTTTTCTTAGGGGATGAGATACATGTACCCCATACTAAAGAAGCCAGGTTTTGAAGTAATTAGAGTGATGAAAAACTAGCTGAGCAAGTAGCTATCCAAGTACATGGAATATTTCTTTAAGAAAACATGTCCTACTGCTAAATGGTTTTAGGGGCTTCAAATTTGTCAGTTACTGATCCCAGAACCCAAAGCATAAGAGAGCCCCAAGTTCTCATTCACATTTTGTATAAAAATTTGAAACCAGGAAAAATACCATGTATGGATAGCAGCACAGAGACATTTGACCATGTCGCAGGGCACCTCAGTGCCTGCTCCTAGGGAGTAGAAACTGCCAGGGAGAGAGAGCCCTGGCAGAACATAATGAGCACAGGTGCGGGTTTCCGGGGCAACTAAGGAGAGCCAGCTGCCTGTAGGAGGCAGGGCCTGGCCCTTATAAAGCCCAGGGCTGAGGCCAGGCTGGCAGTTCCCTGCCAGCAGTCGGAGGGGCAGGAGCTAGGAGGCGAGCAATGCAGGAACCACTCTAGCTGAGAGAAGGATGGTAGCTCTGAGAGGTTTGAGTACCATGGGTTAGCCAGGAGGCTTTATGTTCGAGTTATAGCCAGGAGGCTCAAGTTTATGTTCAGGCCTTGATATTACACCGGAGGTTTGGGTGAGGCTGTAGGGGTTGGAGGAGGCCTCATAGGGACCCCAGAGTGTGGGGTGCCCTAGTGCCAAGAGGGCACAGTGTCCTCATAGGGACCCCAGAGGTGTGGGGGCCCTGACGCCAAGAGGGTGCACTATTCTCATAGGGGGCTGACGGAGTGTGAGAACCCCGGCGCCAGTGAAGGCGCAGCGCCAGTGAAGACGCAGCTGGCGGTGATGAGCGCAACCAGTGGCTTGCGGGCAGGGAACGTAGACCCCGGGTTGTGTGCGGGGTACGTAGACCCCAGCCCCGGAGAGGGGCAGCTTTGAGAGGCCCCAGCATGGGCATGACGAGCCCCAGAAGGGGGCACTGCTAGGAAGCCCTAGCGTGGGCGTGGCAAGCCCCAGAAAGGGGGAGCGCACTTTAGAGGAGCCCAGCGTGGGCCCAATGAGTCCCAGAGAAAGGGGGGGGGCTAGTGA